ATCAAGCAATAATGTCGATAATTCTGTCAAATACAGATCCCGAGCTTGAGAGTTACAAACAAACAAACAAACATACATACATACATACAGTTGAAACCATTTGCTTTTATACGAATACTCGTAGATACGAATGTGAACATGATTAGGTGCAATTTTTTGGTGAAATGTTTTACAAGCGTAGTTTAAAGTATAAAGATGAGAATCAAAACATTCATCCAGTACTTTGAATACTTAAAGAATAAATACATGCTGTTGAATCAAAAACATCAAAAGACTTGTTTTGAGATTTCTTCTTCTTTGTGTAAAAAACTATTTTTTACTTAAATGAAGTAGCTCCCAACAATTTTCTAAAAAGATGTTTTTCTTTTTTTGTTTTTTCTGACTTATGCCTTCAAAAATTACAAAAATACTTCACACCTAGACTACTTAACGTTATTCTGGAAGCAATACTTGCTTGCTATGATCTACTATCTAGCACGCCTGATATGTTTGTTTATTTCCATTACCTATTCATTAATTCCGTCAAAGGTATTCGTTGCAACAGTCATGTAATTAGTTGAACAACCAAGGAATTTGCATTTCTATTCTGGTATGTTTACCTATTTGTACTTCTTATTGGCACTGCGCGTCAGTATATAGAAGAGAAGCAGGATCAAGATATGAAAGTCTACAATGGTCGACTACACGTGGGTATTTATGAATATGTTGACATATTGAAAATAATATAAACCTGTATTTTTTCTTTCCATGTTTCATTGTACACGGACGGGTTTAGGAGATTTTGCAGGAGGGTTCATAGAATTTTCGAGGGAGAGAAAAAGAGTGAAAATACCCGTATTTATATTCTTTGAAAGACATTTTTTGTGGGGGGTCTAATGTTTCTTACTGTTTTTGTGGTGTATAAACTTCCAGAATCTAAAAATAAACGAATCTAAATCAAAAGAGAATTTGGCAATGTGAGGAAAACTGAATGTCGTGAATATATAAAGATAACAGAATCGAGGATAGCGGAGCATATTTTAAAATTATCTGGTGATCATTTAATAAAATACAGTGAAACAAAAATTGTCGCCAAGAAAACCCATTAAAAAATGAGAAAACTCAAAGAATCCGCATATATTCTCTTAGCTCAAAGGAAATGGATCGTACCTAGTTGGAGATGGAAAACGGAAATATGAATCTGAACCGAAATCTCAGATAACATCCTGTATGTGTGTTAATGTGGACTGAACATTCGATTCTTTCAATGTGAGTAAATGGAAGTGGAGCTGTTTACAATTGGGGCATTGTTTCCAAGTGGAAATCGGAAAAGCAATATTTTGCATAACTTTGACCATCTCAAGAAAACTAATTATAGTAATTTCATTTTTTCAATTGATTATTCATTTCGTAGTCAACATTCATGAATTAAGTTACTGACTAATTGGACTCCTCAGTGGTTTATATCACGCAGTAACTTTTCGGTATGAACTTTTCAGTTTGCTTTTTTTACACTTCGGTAGATTCACTATTGTTTTGACTTTGTTCATTTTTTAGATTGTGAAGGTTATACACACAAGAAACAGTAAGAAACATTTGTAACTTTATCATGAAAAAATAAGGTTAGAAAGCTTGTTTGAAAACAATATTGAAAAATATAAAATGTCTTCTAGAATGTGTTTTTGATGGTAGGATTTCAAGTTTTTCTTGAATTCATTGATGTTGTACTACCTAGGAATAATCTATAATTTATATAGCTAATTCGTTTAATGAATCGAATTACCAAATGAAAAATGACTATATATGCATTCTTAGTAATTGTACGTTGAAAGGTTAGACCTCGTTATTCAAGTCGCACAAGTTTTAAGTTTTGAGGGTTGCACATTTTAAGTTTACACATCCTGCCAAAGAAACCAAAGGTAGCATATATGTCCCTACATTTGACAGATTTGTACAATATTTATTTTTTTCTTTTATTTTTAAGTTTTGTTCGATTTCGAATGATTTGGTACTTCAGATAATAAAAAAAATAAATATTTTTGTTCAGGTGAGGGAAAAGTGTTTTCAATATATGCATCACCAGATAACAATAAAAAACTAAACAAGCCTTCACATCTATTATCATACCATAGTAACCTCAAGTAATTTTTGATCAGAACATTGTTTTGGTAATAATATAGTAGTAGGAATGAACTACGATGTCTAACAGGCCTTCTTACAGGTCACTGTCATTTGAATCATCATACGCAGATAATTGGACTGTCGGAATACAGTGTGTGTCGCCTCTGTTTGGAAAATGTTTCTTTGTGAAAAATACTTTCATCTGAAAATGGAACTTTTAACAGTTGATGATCGACTGTATTGCCAAATATGCGCCAAATTAACTGACTGTTATAAGAAAACTAGTATACTCGTAGCTGAGGCACCAGTCAATCTAATATTAACACTGAGTATCTTCAAACATGACTCAACCTCTCACGGAAGCACCAAACTCTTACGAAGGTTTGAAATAGATGAACACTTCAATGTTGCAGACCAGTATTATAATATTCAAGCAGTAATTGTTCACTGTGGTTCTGGCATTGAATCTGGTCATTATTACTCCTTGGTCAAAGACGAAACGGACTGGTTCAAGTTTGACGATAGTGTTCTGGCGATGTGTTGCATTTATTGGAGCCTCTGGAGACACCCTATATTTTGTTTTATGAAAGGGAGGACATTGGCAAATCAAGATCTTCAGATGATATGGCGCTGCTGGTATTTCCGGGTTTTCCTGCAGCTAAAAAAGTAAATGCGCCATTGGAATCAATGAAGTCGCCTCGGAGCGCCAATTAATTTATTTTTTGTTGTTGTTTTATAATTTTATGATTTGTATTTTATTGAAAACAAACTTTCAATTTACGTTGTAACCTATCGGGGTGAACCAAAAAGATGGCCTTTTTCACACCTGTATAAAGTTCTCCATTACAATTTCATATTTTTTTCAGATTGTGGAAGATGATGAAAATATTCAAAAAGAAATCGATGAATTATTCTTCGGTTGCCACGGCACTGCCACATTTTTTGTTTCAACCGTCAACGTTACGCCATAGATCATGTTGAATCTGATGATATTATTGAAAAGGCTTTAAATTATATTAATAACAAATTTTATGAATGAATCGAACGTTGCAACATCGATGACTATTAACGATAACTTCGAATAAGTATTGCGCAATTTCCTAAACCGATGTTCTAAGGTTCCTCACTTCGGGCGATATTCTGTAACAACTCATTTCATGTTTTGACGTTCATTGGTAGTGTCATTTTATGAACTGTAATTGGTAGGTTCGGAAACGAGATATGAATAGGTGAGTAGAGAAAATTAATTATCGTGAAATTTAATTGATAGTTCAGGAGATCACTCTTTTTATTTCAGAAGTATGTTAAATATACCTATAGACAGTAACGTGTAAATTGGGTTTCAATTATTAAATTCATAAAAATTGTTTATTGACCCATATACTAATGAAAAAATTATTTGAAATTCACCACGACAAACGAATAATTCAGGATTTTTGCAAGTGAAACTGCGGCTAGCTAAATGTTTTAGTTGTGCAAACGCGAGTGAAGATTTTTTTATTGAATGCCAACTTCAAATTTTTTTCTCAGTATCTCAGAAACACTCAATAACATCTACGTGACTTTCAGAGCGTAGTAATGCATCATTCTCACAATTTTAATCACTATTCTAATTATATTGAACCAATGCAATTAACCATTCAAATATGATTGTGACTGAATATTTAAACTTGGCATACCTAAATGCTTCTATAGAAATACACAGATTCAATTTGATATCATGATTATGACAGTTGCCAGACCCTAACTCTACTGAGATAACTCAAGTGAATATAAAATCAAATTAAACTAACCAATACAGTGAACAGATACACGAAACCGAAATGAAAAATGAAATGCCACATTTCACTGCTTCACATACCTCATGAAAATAACATAATCCTTTAATTCAACAATATAATATCAAGCCACGTCAGATTTTAACAATAAAATTCAATTGTTGAAAAATACGAGTTCAGTAATTTAAGTACTGTGTTTATATACTGGAACATTGTGTCATTAATAATTTCTTAATTCTGACATAACCAAACGGAAAGATCGTTACTATTTCCTCTGTATAACCACACAGCACCCCAGTTTTGATGCCTTTCTCATCCAATTATTAATCCAATTTGGATTTCCATAGCATTCTCTCCACATAATTTGAATCTATTATTCCTGTTATTCCAGGGGATCGTTTTTTTGTGTAATTCTGTTCTTTTCGATTTTCGCAACTCTGATCAGGTTATCCGTGCTAACGATGGCTAGGCCAAATGACAATGTCGAACAACCGATCTGAAGGATCATGTGTCAATAGTGAAGGTGTATTCCTCATTGTCCAGATGATTTTGGACCAAGAGGCTCTATGGGGATTTCTTTTGCCGCTTTTGATTCTCTACTTTGTATAGACTTTGAGAACTTTTTCGGTAATCCATCTGCAGGTGCCCCCTTTTCATTTTTTTCAGAAACGTCTTCTCAGTTGCTGGGCTCATCTTGGAGATAGGCCAAAATGATTAGTCTTATGGTATTTACTCTATATTTTTGTAAGAACTCTGACGGTTTTTGATTTCTTTTTTCTGAATTGTGTTGCTTCAGATATCGCATCTATAGATTTCCAGAACGCCCACAACCTGTTGTTGTTTTGATTGGCTTCCGGGTTTTGCCGTGGTCTTCTTTGGTTATAATCCCCAAACGTTTCAACTGAAACTGCGGCAGTTATCTTCAGTGACGTGGTCGAACTACTCTTCTTGATGTGTCATCTGAAACGTTTGGGGATTCTAATGGATTATAACCAAAGAAGACCACGGCAAAACCCGGAAGCCAATCAAAACATTGACGCCAGCCGTGAAGGCCTACATTCCTATATCCCACAACCTGTTGATATTTCTGAAACGCTTTGTAATTTTTTCAATGCGATCCCCTGCTACATCCAGTAAAATCTTGATATATGACAGCTGGACGTCCTTAAGCCGCAGGGATCACCTCACTTCTACGGAAACATAAGGATAAGCCAATGCATGGGGTCTTGTTCAATAACATTGAAGACTTTGGCTTATCAAAGCGCAGTCGCCTTTCCTTCTTTTGAATATTATTGATGAGTTTTCAAAAATATTAAACATAAAATTACTTATTTGAGTTGTTACCCAATATCACTTGTATGAAATTTAACGAGCCGAACATGACCGATCACAGCGCGGGAACTCCCGAATGCAGTTTCGGTTTCGATTGTAGTTTCGGCAGGTTTGGCGCCGAAACCAAAACTATACCGAAACCCGTTTTTTTGCCGAAACTCGACCGAAACCGAACTTTCGGTCGGACACTACACATGTTTCGCTAACACAGTAGCTTCTTCAACACTAATTTAAATACCCACTGTATTCAAATCCCTGTTGGAGAAGCTACTGTGTTAGCGAAACATGTCGTGATAAATTTCTCATATGGAGATCAAATCGTAAGGTGTAGTTTATGAAATATAGGTAATTATTGTGAGAAAAATGATGATGAAAATTTAAAATGTACAATCTATTTGAAAGAGAATCAAGAATGCTTCCTTGTGGTACACCTTGCGTTATTGGTAAACTACCTGAGAGTTCATCATTAATTTCCACTATTATAGTTGCTGACGATCCGTTGAATATGACTAACCACTGAAGCTCTGCTGAATCCAAGGTTACTTAGAATTAATAATAATATCTCATGATTAATCGTATCATTGACACAGGTGTAGTCTGTCATAATAAGCACACTTATTTTGTTGTTATCCAGTGACTCAACTATATCAGCACTCAAGGACAACGAGCAACTATATCCGCTTTTAAAACCAGACTGATAATCAGAAAGAAGTTTTCCATGTCGGACATACGTACGGATTTGTCTTTCTAAATTTTTTTCAAAACTTTCGAATTGGTCAGTAGAATGCTAATACTTCTCAACTGGCTAAAATCAGTCGCTTGAAGAATCTTGAGTAATGGCAAAACCTCTTTTCCTGGCAATAATGAAAAAAAAAATAACGTTCGCATATACATGCATTGAAAATATCAGTCACAGTGTAATGAATGGACAACAAAGAATAATGATTTGACTGTTCAAATTGTTGTTCCAATTGATATGTAGTACTTCGTCTTCAGTGGTTTTGAAGCAGAGTTGTTTTGTTCCGAGTCATTCACCTTTATATCTACTAGAACATTAGGTGAAAAAATGTCTCTCAGTTCGTTGAATAAAAAATTGTTATTTTCTTCATAATTTTTTAATGATGGTAGCATTTCAACATTAGATTTCCGCGTTATATTTTTATTACCTACCATTTTTCTTTCAGAAAACAGATAGTAAGTTTGAAATCTGAATATGCCTCTTTAATCTTTCAATATCTGACGGTGTATAATTTCGTAATTCCTTGTAATTTTGCCAGTGTGTCAGCAGTTCCGACTTTTTATACTAATCAAAGCCTTGTTCCTCTGTTTTCGCAACAATTCCATATTATCTGTCATCCGGGGCTGGTTTCTCATTTTATTCGAATTGAAAATCATTGTAGAGCATAATGACCTACCACGTTTAAAACGGTTTCATTTGAGTGTTTAACTTAGTTATCTATACGGGTGAGTTGATTAACACGATCCCAATGCTAGTTTTCAAGATCATGTTGGAATTGTTGCAAATTAATATTAAAAATATTATGTAACTACGTTACATGATAAAATGTAGCAAATCAAAAAATAGCATCAAAGTAATGGTCTGTTAAACAATTAAAATAGTGAATATTACTGGAGTTTTTTCCCAACACTAAACCGTTATTTTAACACCTCGACACGTGTTTCGATCACCAAGTGATCATCTTCAAGAGGAAGAAAAAATAACTAACGCTATTTATGCTACACAGGTATACCACACCTAAATTAATTTTACAATTTGCCTTATCTATTATTTTACAATATGTCCTTATGTTCATTAAGATTACTTAGACAAGTTAACAACAACAGGCAATAGTACGGGTGTAGAAAAAACAAACAAAGAATACAAATACGAACATATAAAAACAAAGAGTATGTTGACAGTACAAGCATTTAAAATGATTCACGTATTCTTTGACAAAATAGAAGAAAAAACTCAAAAGATATTTTTTTTGATTTTTGTTTTGAATTAGGACATACTAAGAATTTTCAAATTATCGGGAAGATAGTTGTGTTCTTTTGTGATTTACTGAAACTATAGCGGTTTGTTCGACTTTTGTTTCAATGTCTGGTATCATATTTGAAAATTTGAGAACAGATGATCGATTAAAGTCTCAGGATGATTCGTGACTTGAGTTCGTTCAGAGATATTTTTTTTCAATCGAATGACTCAGTTATTGATTTACACATGTATTACTTTAGAATGAAAATTTGAATGATCGATATTGAAGTCGCCAAGACAAATAATACTTTAAAATTCAGGATGTATGTTTATCAAAGCGTATTGGTAGAATACTGAAAGACATTAACAATATAAATGAGGAAAAAGAGCATAAGCAGAATACTGGTAATTTAGAACGGCTAGTTGCGATGATTTTTTAGTGGGTATGAAGGTGGTGAGTCTTGTTCAAGCTGCCTCTTCTGAGGTGAACTACTTTTTTTCAAGGACAAAACACAAGCACTACAGGAAAATCATCAAGGCGCTCTAAGAGCAGTGCCTGTGCGAAAGTAGCGATTCACATTGAATTTGCAACGCTTGAAATTGAATCCATTTGGAAAAATGTTCTCAAAAATTTTATTGCACATAAACGCAGTTCTCTAAATGAAAGAGTTCTCAAACAGTGAAGTTTGAGGTGTACTGAGTTGGGCCCCAAAACGAAGAGCAGCCACAGTTCGTCGCGTAGTTCTGATATGTAGCGCTCTTGGAGGAATAAATTGTGCCAAGTCACAAGAATACTTCTCGTGAAACTATCTATAGAAGAGAGACATCTCCAACCTGTCTTCGATGTTCCAGACTATCAAGGTTGCAAGTGATGTTCGCGTCTCCAGTCAGGCGGGTGGTTCTTTTCTGGATGGAATCTAGCAGCTTCAGGATTTCCATAGGGGCAGAGCTCCATACATGAGAACAATAGTCCGAAGAAGGTCTGATCTGAGCTTTATAAAGCATCAAAAGTTGCTGGGAGTGTGTAGTTATCTGGTTCGGGAATGTGTTCTAAGCTTTTGAGAAGCAGCCTTTGCAATTCCAGCGACATAATTGTGCCAAGACATATTGGTGTCCTTTTTTAACTTCCCAACAAACTTATCGAAGCAGAAGCGGAATTGTCCGTCCTGACATTATTATATCCGTTTCGAAGACATTTATCTTTTTGGAGAAAACCAATGCCTGGATTTTTGTAGTATTCAATTGAACCTGGTTACTTTCACACCAATTCAAAATCACTTCTATATTCTCATTGAGTTATGCAACCTCCTGCTGCCGGTGAAGATGTGCATTCACAGTCGATGCCCTGGGCTCTAAATGGAATGACGTTATAAGTGTGCTATCGTCAGCAAAACAATATATTGGATTCTTCTTTTTTTATAAAAAGTCGTTGATATACAATAAAAAGAGGGTTGGAGAAAATATGGATCCCTAGGGAACAACAGCGTCGATGGTAAAAGTATTCGATAGTTATACATCGACGGCCACTTGCAGAGAACGTTCTTTCATGAAGCTGGATACCCATACATATAAATGATCCGACAAGTCATTGTATCGAAGTTTAGTCAGCAAACTCTCATGCCACACACGGTCAAATGCCTTAGAAATTGCAAGCCTAATAGCTCTTGTTTCTCTGTGTTTCTTGCAATGAAAGTGGTACTGTCCCTTCAATGCAACGACGATTTGCTCGAAGGTTAGCCCGTAAATTATGATTAGAGGTCATAAATCGAAGAAAAATTTAATAATTTCGCCTGAGTTTCCTTAAGGGTATGGTTTTTATCACCCATGATGAGCGAATGATGGTTGCTAGTTTTCTTTGTTGTCTGGTAGAGTTTTTAAAATGATAATGAACATTATTTTATGTCTGAAGATCATGGTTTTTCATTGAAGAGAGGATATAACCAATTACTACATTTCTCTTATCAAACAGTAGAATAGGAATATTTATTCAAGAAAATCACATTCAAAACTGATGTTCATAATTTCAATCTGAAGAGAAAAAGTATGAATGATATCCCATCACACGAAACAGAAATTTTTCAGTTTTGCTTCCACTAGTACCTAAATTGTGCCCGTATGCAATTCACTGAATGTGACAAATTTCGCTTCATCTCTTAGGTCTTTTGAAAAAAATTAGAAAAAATTACCACTCTCACAGCAGTAACAGTCGCTTGTGAAAATGTTCTTCGTTTATTTTCGGTGGTTTTTGATTCTATTATCTCTTGTATTAATTAGGAGTATTTGGATCTCTTCTTGTATTCTTTTTATTCACTTTTCTTTTTATTTGCCTTGCAAGTAAAGTGTGGAAGAATGGGTCAACAAACCTAACATTTATCTTTTTGTTTGTCATTACCATTGATTATCCTATGTATTTCGTTTACTGACAAGCAATAGATAAGTCATCATTATTATTAATCCTTCAAGATTCCTTTATTATTAACAGCTGAAAAAATTGAAAACTTTTATAAAAAATGGCAACTATAATACAGGTACTTCAATAGTTTTGTATATCGATGATTATAAATAGAAGCACGCCACAAGGTGGTATCAGTAAAAACTATTGAAACAACGAAATTCTTTGAAACTCAGCCTGGAAAGTTTGGAAAATCATTGAAATTGAAAAAAATAATAAAATCTATTAATTTAATGCGAATAGATACCACATAAAGACCTCCTATATCATGTTCCCAAGACTAGTTGAACAAGCTCATTAAACATTTTAAACGTGAATTTGTTTCAGGTGTGCACCACGAATGATATTGTTGTCTTTTTTGCTTATTGAATTCTCAGAAGTTCTTTCGGAAAGAGAACATAAGGTAAGTTCTTTATTTTATTTTATCAAATATAATTCTGATCGTTGATTAAATACAATATGTAATTAATCATTTCGTTTATTGTACAATATATGCAAAGCATTCAATCGACTCATCTAACTGGAATGTGGATGTCGCACAGGTGTGATTCGGAGTTGAATTGTGGTTCAAGTCCACGACATATAAATTTTTCGGCAATCATTATGAAATTTCTTTATGTGCAATAGCTTTTCCCCGCAATTCCGCCCACGTGAACTACAACATATAACAAATTGACTCGCGTAGATCCAGATCCCGTGAGTATATCTAAATATATACGAGGTCTGTTCAAAAGAAGTGAATATTCAAATTTCGCGGGCTACGTACATCCGATTAGTGACTTTTTATGTTGGTACACTCGTCTCGAACATATGTTCACAGTTTCAGCTGTTTAGCTTGTTGGTGAGAGGCATACAAGTTGTTTGCGTGTTCGGCGAATTTCTGCTATAAAAAATGGTTCAAAGAATTTGCATCAAACTTTGTGTAAAAATGGTTAAAAGTGCTCAGAAATACTTGAAATGTTGACGGTGACATAAGGTGATTGTACTCCGAGTCAGAAAATATTTACAAGTGGCACAAGCTTTTCGCTGAAGATCGAGAAGATGTGAATGGCGATGTTCGTCCTGAACGAACCAGCACATCAACGACCGATGAAAATGTTGAGAAATAGAAGAAAATTGTTATGGAGAACACTATTGGAGAAGTTGCTGAGAATGTCGGCATATCGGTTGGCTCATGCCAGAGTTGGGTAGTATCCGAATACTTCTGTATTCGGATACAGTATCCGGATACTTTATATGTATGCGAAAGCTGTATTCGGATATTTTTCAAATTTTGTATTCAGTATCCGTATCCGTGGCCAAATTTGTAAGTATCCGAATACCGAATACTTTTTTCGATCTACGGATAGGTACTTATAAATTATTCGATGAATGAGAACCAGACCAAACAGTCCCATTTTATGCAGGCATATCTTGTCGCATTTTGTCGGGCATCTTCGAAAACGGTGAAATACAACTTTGCCACCTCGAAAAATGAGTTATTAGACTGCCTCCTATATCAAAAATGTGCAGTAGATCCCACTTGGGGCTTGTTTTCTTCCGTTTACGGGATTGGGACACCCAAACTCGAAGTTCGGCATCCTCGAAAATGGGGTGAGGTAAGGCGGTAAAATCTTTTACCGCGGTAAAATCTTTTACCGCCTTACCTCACTAAGAGATACCAAGTACCAATCAATATAGTTGAATCAGAATCTATGTCGTATGTGCGTGGCCATTTCATAATTCCCATATCAATTATCCATTCCTTATAAAGAACCTTGATAAAATTCATTTCATTTGTGAAAATTTTTTGTATCCATTTTTTAATAACTCTGGAATAATTCAGCTGGAATTATTAAGATATCTGAAAGACAAAAGAACGAATTTACAAGTATTACATCAATAACCAATATTAAAAAAAGTGTCACTCAAGTATAATACATGCTTACCTTCGTCAGCACCAGTAGAAAGACTTTTCTCTTTTGCAACTATGATTGATACGGCGAAGAGAAAAAATTTAAGTGATGAATACTTTGAGGTATTGGTACTGACGAAGGCAAATTCAAACTCAAAGGTACTATTTATTATAGATATAAATGTCACATCTAGCGAACAATGTGGTAAAAGCTAAAAATATATTTTTTTCACTGAAATGTTCTTTCCTTACAAAATGAATATAAATAGTTTTTTGAGTTTCTTTTATTTCCTATCTTTTTTTATCACTTTCTGTTTTTGATATTCATCCCTAGTATGTTTACTTGTATACATTAAAACACTATTTTAACTAACTCTAAAAGTATCCGAAAAAAGTATCCGAATACTTGTATCCGAGTACATTTTTAGGTGAAAGTATCCGTATTTTTTCCAAAAAGTATCCGATTACATTGAAAGTATCCGTATCCGGTATTCGGATCCTTTTTTCCTATATCCGACCCAACTCTGGCTCATGCCATGCAATTTTTTCGAAAATTTCGGGCACGAAGGATGTGGCAGCTAAGTTCATTCCAAAATTGCTAAATTTCGATCAAAGAACCGTCGCATGAAAATCTCTCAGAAATTGTTGAATGACGTCAACGGCGATCCAGATTTGCTTGAAAAGTTCATAACTGGTGACGATTCATAGGTATATGGTTATGACATCGAAACCAACGTCCGATCGTCCCAATGGAAGAGCCCAGGAGAGCCAAGACGAAAAAAGCACGCCAAATTCGATCAAATGTCAAGGTTTTGCTCACTGATTTCTTTGATTACCATGGCGTAGTGCATCAGGATTTGTTGCAACATATGAGTATTACGCGTCGCTTGCGAGAAGCAATACGAAGAAAACGACGCTCACTCGTCATTGCTTGTTCGTAATTTTTTGGGCCAAAAACAACACCGTAATCGTGCCTCAACCACCATATTCACCAGATTTGCCCTCCTGCGACTTTTTCCTGTTCCCAAAATTGAAGATACCCAATTGCTACGATTGAGGAGATAAAAACCGAATCGCTGAGAGAGCTCAAAGACATACCGGAAAGTGCATATCAGAACTGCTTCGAGGATATCTGAGGGGGACTACTTTGAAGGGGACAAAATAGAAATTGACGAATTGATAAATATTTTTGAGAAAAATAAAAATTCACCTTATTTTTCAACAGACCTCGTATGATACTCCTGGATAATCTAGCTTTCTAATAGGTTACATACTCAACCTGGCTTCAAATAGAAAAATCAAAAGGTAAATTAAATTCTATTCGGACTAACAGAACAACAATTCTTTGCATCAATTTTTTTGTAGCGATCATTATCACCAGCGGCTCAGCAGCTGGCCAGATAATATAAGGTTATGCCACCAAAAAAAATTATTTGAATTTAGGAACTTACGCCTTCAACGTTTGGTGGCTTAGAGATTCTCTATTAACAATATTTGATATCGTTTTATTTTATGGTAGCCGAATAGATTTGATTTTTGGAAGTTCCTACATCAAATATTGTTTACAGGGCAGTTCTTAGCCACTAATCTTCAGAGGCTCATATTCACATAAACCGGTGAGAATGGTTAGTAAAAAACATTCCAGTGCAAGGAATTTATTTCAATTCATTTCAGTCTATCTGTACTTACTACAAAACCGATTTCAATAATTTTTAAGCTGATAGAAGGCTAGATTATCCAGGACTAACATAGGCTACTTTTGATTCCGATATTCCCACGGATACGCGAAGAAATTTGTTATATTTATAGTTACCGCAGAAGAAGTCGCAGACAAAACTTATTTTATACAATGAAAATCTGTTAAAGCTGCCGTAATGTTGAAGCTTTGTCAGTGACATTCGAAAATACCTAACTTTGTTGAATCCATGAGCCATGGATTTGAACTATGTTTTACCATAAAACTATGTTTCAAATAAAATTACAACTCTGGATCGCTGGTTGAAAATATAATCCGGAGGACATTTTTTTTATGTTATATCTAAACGAAAACTAAACAAATGAATGTAAATATTTAGGAATGAAAATATAACTCTAAAAATTCATTTACTTTCTAATCTTAATATTTAAGTTTTCGAATAGTTTTTTTTTTAATTTATTGTTTGAATTACTTCGAATTCTGAATTGAGAAAAGCAAATACAACTTTAATTGTATGCAACTTTATTGTTTTAAGAGAATAATACAAAAATTAATGAAAATAAACTCAAATCCTGAGTTGCATAACTCCAACACGTATGTTTATAACTCTAATGCTTCAGAATGTGAATATATAATATTATTATTGCTTGGGTTTTTTATAATCCACAATAAATAATAATTATTTTTGTCGATTCGCAAAAGTATTTCTGAATAAAACACCTGACTGACGAGTAAATTATTCAAAAACTTGCTTGACCCATGAACTGATCTGAGTTTTCGTCATTCTTAGGAATTTGTTTACAGAATATTTTTATGGTCTTCCACAGTCCTAAACATAATTGAAAGTTATGAGAAAAATTTATGAATGATTGAAAAAATAAACGAAACAAAAACATTGAGTTTTCGATATCAATATCATATTTACAGGAGGGTTGCTTTTGCTCTCAGGTAGCTTTAGATTTGTATGGATTTCCTAATCACTTTCAAAACATAATATAGGTAAATACTGTTTTAGGTACATAACATAGTGCTGTATCCAGAAAAACACTCGTGGTGTCAAATAACACCAATACAACAAGTAATAGCCTGCCCTGGGTATGAATCTGTTACTATAGACAATAACGTGTGTGTAGGAGCTTGCTTCAGCTACTCTATACCAAAAACGCAACCTGCCGAACCCGGAGAGCTAATAGGTCCCTATTGTGACAGCTGCCAACCTTCCGGCATCGAGTGTTATCACGTAAATCTAAGAGGAGACGCCAACAACATTGAAGAACCAAAAATTATTCAAAAGCGGGTGCAGATAATAACTAATTGTTCTTGTCAGAACTGTAATAAAGTCAGGACCGAAGACTGCCAAATTACTGATGATGGCACTGTAGAATTACCACATAAACTTTTAACACACGACAAAAATTCTACAAGGTATATAAACGATGATCTGCCTGATATTTTAGAGACGAACAGTTCCCCTGCCCATCACCATGATTCAGATGACGTTTTGCATAAGGAGAAACACAAGAAATGGATCAAAAATCACCACGACGAAATAGAAAGTATGTACCGACTATTTCTGGAGAATAATAAAGATACCAACAGTGAAATTGACGAGGGCTCTGAAAATTACGATTATACCAACTCAGAAATGGAAAATTTTATCCAGAAACATAAATCGATCGACTCTGAAGAACATCCCAATGACATAGGGTTACTGGAAAATGTTTTGTATTTGGAACAAAATCAAGAGAATAATGCCAAAATCCAGGCTGATCTGAAGAAAGTTCCCGATAATTTTGGAATTGAAGGAGTTCCAAGCGGATTAAGAGGAAACCACATTGCCATAGGCTCCAAACAAAATGCTGCTACTGCGACCAACACGGTTTCGGAGGGAAAAGTGGAGTCTGCTGATATTTTGGATCACCCCAACGATATTCCTGTGTCGGTTGTTAACGTTGAAGAAAGGATCCATCATGGTGAGAAGGGGAGTCATCATTCGCATCATCGGCAGAACCAAGGGCATAACCACCATTTAGGGGAAACGGAATATGTTGGTAAGAATTTTTTTTCTTGAAAAGATGGTTCACAATATACGTTTCATTTAAAAACGGCTTCGTTACTCAAAACAAGACATCATCAGGCTTAGTTTAGCATGGTATATTACTAAAGTATGCACAAATTTTATGAGCTTTTGAAGTGAGTAAAAAGTAATATTAAACAGGACTTTATGACTGGAACCCCTTCCGTAGAATTAATCCTAAACAAGTAATTCTGGTGTTTGGGAGTAGAAACTTTGATGTTTTTTTTTATTTTTTACATTCCACTCTGTGCAACAGTCAAATTAGTATTGTTCGAATTATCTCAACGTTAACACCATCACTTTTATTTGAATTCGACTTTTATTTTCACAAAACTTCATTTTGAAAAGATCGTTTATGTCTGGGAACTGTGTACCATGAAAAAGTCAAATTATGGAAGAATTGCGTTTTTAATTGGAAAAATATACACAGGAACACGCACATGAAAACTTTTATTAAGAGATTGACCAAAAAGAGGTCCGAAGAACTGCTTCAACAAAGCAGGCCTAGTCACTGGACATTGTCCATTGAGAGGACACCTGAAATAGGGATGTACAACGGAGCAAAAGGACAGAAACACCTCGTCATATTCTACGCGAATGTGGGGCACTTGATCCCAGGAGACAAACAATTCATGGACAAATTATGTCCAAAAGAATGTGACGAACATCCTGTAACTATGTGACAAACTAGTACTGGGAACAAGATTGGATGCAGTGTTTTTCGGAGACTTGAAAGAAATTAAGTTGTCAGACGGCTCACACTTACTAAATAAATCATTCAAAGACATGTCCACTCAACAATAATAACTCTCACTTCATTAGCAATTACTAAAATTTGAATTATTCATAATCTTGCCCATAATTTCATTGTGATATTCTGTATTGTGAATTTTTATTGAAAAGGGGGTTATTTTTTGTCAAAAATGTGTTCTGTGTATAATGTGTGTATATAAAGTGGATACATGAAACTAAATGAAAACTAGGTTTCAAGAACTTGTTTTTTTTTGTTTCAAGGTTTTTTTGTAACTTCATTCAAATTTTTATTCTATCTAAAAAATGTTTTATATAAATTATTCAAAAATATTTTTCAATGATAATTACAAACGGCTCCTCTGAACGAAATTAAATTTAATATAAAATTATATTGGTCGCAGAGGTTTACGTGGTGGATATTTACGGCGAAATTATTAAATATCACTAGTTTCAAAACTTTCATATTATTATCAGATCAACCAATAGGAAAAACAACTTTCTGGTACCTACTTTGAGGTTTGTTTGTATACTGATTAGTTTACAAGGGAAAAAAATAAAAATTGGTTCTCATATTATGACACATGGCTGATAATCGGAAAATGCTTTTTTATGATTTTGAGATTTTACCAACGATTTTTTTATGATCCTATGATCTTAATAATTTTATGATGTTGAAATTCTTCATGATTTTGGCTGGCAGAACTATAGAACAAAAAATTTGTTGAAAAAAATCCTAATCGGTTGAAAGTTCAGGCAATTATACCACCTGTTACATTAGATATACACACAAGACATACCGATTCTAATTATGACTTTACTAAAAGTAGATATCTTTCTCTCTGTAACTAACCTAACTTCTCACTCTACTTTACATTTCACTATGAAAAGGAACTCTATTACTGAACAAAAGAAGAAGAGTACTTAAGTGTTTTCTGGCGCTCTTGAATAGGTATCAGCATTCTGATTATGATTTATTTGGAGTACTACTGTAGACAGCGCAGAAGTATCCCAGATCTATAAAAAGAGAAAATAGTAATTTTTTAATATGTTACAATCTCTAAGTGAGGTCAAAAAACAATGGAGAAATATCAGATTGAATACAATGAAAAATATGAAAGAATAATACAGTAGTACCTAACAAAACAATAGTGCTTCTGGAATATGAGATATTTTCATTACAGTAGGTATGCAGTGGTAAAAATTATTAATTAAGGATTTCTGTTACCTACTGAGAGTTAGCTGACCTCAAAAATGATCCATGAATTCAACGTTTTTAAAGGTGTAACTGAGATAAACTATACTTGATACTAAAGAATATAGATAAAAGATAGTAAAGTATTCACAACGAAGTTTTAACATTTCGAAATTCAGATGACTAACAGTCTTTATCTGATGCAATAACCTCTTCCAATAGTTTAGTCTATTTGCATCAATAAATGCTTGTTTCGTCCTTTATGATTCTTGTATTCTTATCACCAAACCATGAACAAACAACCAGTTGAATATCTAAATGACGCAGACAATCTGTATATGAGATAAACTATAATTAATACTGAAGAATATAGATAAAAGATAATCACAACAAAGTTGGGGCAACACAGTCCCTATATTCTATACCTATACACCGCCATGTTTACTGAGACGTAACGTCAATCTCTTTGATTGGTGTTCCAGTTTACATGGCAAATTGTACCATTTTATAAGTACTGACTGAGTTGAATAAATGAGCGAAAGACTAAGATTAACCTGAGTTGTAAATGTATGCAAAACTACCTTGAAACAAAAACATAGATATGTTGTTTTTATTAAACCATCCATTATACAAATAAAACTGAATGGTAACGAATTCATGACAATAATATTTTTGTATATATCAATGAAAATATTTCGTACCTAGTTAAAAATTTGATAAACAATTGTATAATAGTCTCTTTTACTCAATATTCTTTTTGTCGTTATCCTCAAATATACATGAATGAATCGTTATCTTCGGATCGATTACAAAAAAAAAATTGAAAATATTTTATCTCTTTGACCTTTTCGGCCTTTTTTTCAGTCCTTCTTTTAAGAAGAATCTGTCCAAAATTTCGACCCATTCGACAAACGTATGAAATCATATTTATGGGGTTCTGGGCTATTGATCAGTTATGTAATTTTTCAGGCCTAAACGTTGTACATTTGATCAAAGGGCCGCATGGTAGTATGGTTGCAGCTCCGGTCGAAACAAAATTGGAAATTGATTCGGACGCTCTTAAACCGAATAGTGAAGGGGTTGTGATTGATTACGGAAGTCCACATGACCAGCCATCTGCTAACAGAGCGGCGGATTTATTCAAATAGTTGGAATTTGCCAGTTATATTAAGAATTCGAAGTTTTTTGGTAGTCTGCATTATTTTTTCTTCTCACAAAATTTTAAACAATCATTATGTTACTCATTTGAAGTGAATACAAATTTTATCAAGAATTAATTATTGTACAGATTAGCATTCAAAGAACTTCGAAGAATCTAGTCTCGAAATTTCTTTATTCATATTGATAAGTATAGGTAGGTTATATGTAAATTGTCCATAAGAAATGATCGACTGTGATGTTGATTATTTCAAAAAAATGCTTGGTGAGTACACAACAAGTTCACGCCAAATGGAAACATTCCTAGTGCCAATTTCTTTACACATTCTAAGGAGACAAATTATATCGGAAAACAAAACTTATTTTACAGAGATGAATGACGTTTTAATGAAAATTGAAGTGATGATTTGCTATTTGTTTACTGACTCTATTCTCAGAAATATTGTTTTAAACCCCTCAACCTAATTATTGAGTTGTAAGTTAATATTGGTGGTGACTACATTTTATTCACGGAAAATATACAAGAGGGTCATAAAAAGTACATCTTCAAGTTCTGAAATCTATATGGAATTAATTCTTTGGGAAAGTTATATAACGTCATATCTCAAAAGGGAAGAATATTTCCAATATTTTCGAGGGTCTCTTGTGACCTGTCATTTTAATATAGTTTGCAAACCACAAGCACAAACCACTATTTGATATGATTTTTAGAATCGTCTTCGTTGCTATTTTTCCTACTTTTTTTCGAAACCAAAAGCACATCAAACGATTTTATTTTGTCAATTTCCACACCTTTCAACAGGGGAATTTTAGGTCTACTCCTATTTGAACTATCAACATTTTTTCAGTGATTATTACTGGATTTTCATTCCAACACCAAACCGTTACTTTTAACACCTCGACACGTGTTTCAATCACCAAGTGATCATCTTTAAGAGGAAGATTAAACTTCCTCATAATATTCCTCTTGAAGATGATCACTTGGTGATTGAAACACCTGTCGAGGTATTAAAAATAGCGATTTGGTGTTGGGATAAAACTCCAGTAATATTCATTACTACACCAACGAATCCAAACAGTGCATTACAAGTACTTTTTCAGTGGGTTATTTAATAAATTAATGTAGACTTAAATAAGGATCATCATTTAAATTTTAAAAATATTTGATATTAATGAAATATTTTTCTACAGAAGATCGCGTTCTCTTTGCACAAAGCCAGAAAGTTTGAATTGAGAATTGTAAAAAAATACTACAAACAATGGATTTACAAGTGGCAACAAAATATAATATATTTATTATGAGATTTTTCCATTGCTTAAAAAATAAATGTTTGTGTAACGTTCTGGCATCAGTAAAAATAAATATGATACGCTCTTCTAGAAACTACATCTAATGAACTGTTAATTAAAAAAAAATTAGAAGATTCACATGAAGCATACAAGTAGGACAACAAAACTTTGGTTATTATGTTGAAATTTTTCACATTTGATGCTTCAATATTATTGTTCATTACATTCCGTGTTAGGAATCACACTTTAAAAGGTAAGACCTCGTTAATCCTTAGCTCGCACAAGTTTCGACTTCTGAGGGTTGTCGTTCGTAGGGGTGCGACAGCTGATTAACGGAAAAACAGATTTTAAACAGATTTTTCGAACAGAAACAGATATCTTTCTGATGATATCTGAACAATTGAGTATCGGGCATTCCTTCCTAAGAAATAATAGATGCATTTTTTACACTTTGGGTCCGTATATACGTTCTAATATATTATTTCAATTAATAGTGAAGCGTTCAATATTTCGAAATTTCTAATGATATTAACGAAAATAGATCAGCAATTCTCCACATTGTGATAGAATAATTGAGGAACGCTATAAAACCGGATCAGAATATATTAGTTTTGACTCAAATAAGGAATCAATGAATCACACAACGTTTAAACGCTAAATATCACCAAAAAAAATGGCCAGTAAATCCCAAATATTATACAATATACTATCTAAATTCAAAACTAACAGTATTGTTCTTTTATGTGTCAAATTCATTTACTTCACAAAAGCAGATATGAGCAATTGCTTTTATACATACCCAAAAAAAAATCCGATATCATACGAGTGTAAAGTTTAGATGTATTTATTAATTATTAATTTTTGCCCAAATATTTATCAAAACCGAAAACATTGACCGTCCCAAAAAATCGTGTGACATTTTTTCATATCTTACTAGTAACAAATGCCGAATATGGTGCCTCTACAACCAACAACAATACATAACACGTTTACGATATAGTACTGCATGATTCAGTTCAGTGTTGTTTCTGGTAGTACTTTTTGACGGTCAAAATCATCAAGTTACGATTTTACCCATTTTGAGGAACTTTCAGTTGACTGTTACGCACCTGAATTGACAATTAACGCATCAAAACGACATGTGACATATCATAACTGAAAGTCAAAATGAATTGATGAATGTAGCCGTAACTACATGGTAGGATATCATCATAAGAAATGAGATTTGTAACTTCCTATGTTTTTATGCCACTTGTATTCGTTTGAAAATTTCCTTGTAGGACGAAACTGCAGTAACTAACGTTAGTTACAAATACGAGTGGTATAAAAACATAGGAAGTTTCGAATTTCGAGAGGTGAAGTATCAAAACCGGCGATTCAAAAGCATTTTCACACTTCTGTCAGTTTTGATATGTCAATTATTACTTTTGAAAATAAATCAGCTTTTGGCCCGAAATACTTCGCTTTGTGTGAGACTCATTCAAAAGTTACAATTTTCTGTCAAATATAACTTTTTTCGACATAATCTGTTACAATTTTTTTTCGAGCAGGCACAACACTGATTCAGTTTACAAATATACCCAGGTGTACTAGTGTGAAGTATGAATAATTCTGTTTGATATTCCTCTACAACGCGAATATTACTCATGTTTGTGTATATCGTGTAAAGTCATTTCATCAAAACAGTAAAATATACCTACTCATTTGATGTTTTTCAAACATAGGTTTGGGTTTAAATGTATGATCCCAGATGATTTATCAATTTCCACTTACATATGTATGGAAGATTGTTCATAGTCAAACCGGCACGAGAACAATAAAAATGTATTGAAATGCTATATTGGGTAATAGTAGGATCTACCGGAGGATTCAACTCTTATTTTTTCGCTAAAACAAACAAATCATTACAAATAGAAGCAATTTATATCTTCATAAAAATAAATGACTTGTTGATAATTTTTCCCAAATAACACTATAGTATTATTTTGTATAAATGTAATCTATTGCACACAAATACTGCGAATGAGAAAGAATTATCATTGAATGGTTGACTTCAACACATTATTTTTTCCTCTTAAGAACATTTTAAATCAAGCATTCAGATATTGGGCTTATTGGTATACCTATGTCTTTGCATACTACTGAAAATAGTGCAACACTCTTATAATTTAGTAAATCAAAAATATTATATAACAGTTAGGTACCTACCTATTAATAATAACAATGACCGACTTTGAAAATCCTGAACAACTGAGTTTCACTTTCGATTCATTACTGACTTTAAAACACTTCTTTGATTATCATACAATTTGATAATTTTGTTAGATTATTAGCAAAGTCTACTTGATATTGTCTTAATTTTCATGATTTCTAATTCGTCATTTACTTCAAAATGGTCCCAGAAAAAGTATATTGTTTCTGATTATATGCGTTTGTGAGATAATTATTACTTGAAACTATAAAATTGGAGTTAGGTTTGTAGTATATAGGTTGAAGTCAGTGATTTTGAAATTTTCACGGATGGAAATGATATATCTTTAAAGAAAAGTAAATTTTTGTATGTCGAGTTTTATATAATAAATTAGTGATAATTCAACATTCCATTTAAAAGCAATACGTAATTGAATAGTCCATAGATAGGTTTCTTCTGAACATATTTAAATACTTCTTCATGAGAGTTTTTCCGTATCTTCCTCTACGTTACTAATTTCACATACAGCTTTCTACCGAAAACTTATGATCAGTACAAAATTATATTTGCTAATTTTATGTGAAACTAATTATTATTTTAATGTTACAGGGTACAAAGAGTTCATATCTAATCGTCTGACAAACTTGTTTTCTCAATAATTGTTGTGTTTGTTTCCGTACGAGGGCAAATCAAAAAGTAAAGAGAATACGTGTTGTCTATTCTGTATAACTGGTTTTTATGATATGTTATTCAGACATTTTTGATCAACCCTCGTACAATTTTTTTGTTCTTGAAAGTTTATTGTAAGTTTTTGTATTAAATGTAAATACTTCTAAATTATTTCGAACAGGCTGTGTGTCTACTTTAGTCAAAAAATAACATTTATACTTTTTTACTTCTCATGTTAATTTTATTTGTAATTTATCTTATTCGTGTCTTGTATTCATATTCCTTTATTTAATTCTATAAATATAATATATTCCTTGTCGTAATGTTTTTTTTTCGAAGTTGTATTAATAACTATAACAAAATGTAATGTTCTTGAAGTTTTCAAATTATAGTTATTTGAATCAATCCTCAAACAGGAATACAAAATAGTTTTCATGTCAAACGTAATAGAAACGTAATAGAAACGTAATAGAAAACAGTGTTTTTCGTATAATTCAGCGTTCATATAAAAGTATTTGTTTCGAAATTATTTTTCTTTCGTGTAATTCAATGTTTTCTTCCAGTTTGTGTCTGAAAGTTACTTCTTTGCATGATCTACACATCTTTGTATAGAGTTGATTTTTGAAATTGATTGCTTTATTCTTTTCGTTGAAAGATTCCCACATTTTTGTATCAAGTTAGAGAAGTACCTAGAAAGCCAAAACCTTTCTTTCCCGAAATGTATCTCTCTTAAAAATATACCATTTAATATCATTAATTAGTTTCAAAAAGTATTGGTAATTGAAAGTTGAACCAGAGTCCAAATGTGTTGCAGTCCGGTGTATCTAATGAACCTACCTGGAAATAAGAGAAATAAGAGACTATTTCGAATATGAAAATACATTAATTGATAATTCAAGGCATAAGTAACATTTTGTAATAATATCGGTGGAAACAATTCTAGTCATAATTTCTATATACCTAAAAACAGGTGTCAAAAGCCTAAATAATACAGTTGTCCATAAAGGTTCAAAATCGCAAAATTGGATGAGAGTGGTATGATTTCTTGAAGTGAAAACAGGGCATAGTCTAAACGCGAATTAAGCTAATTGCGAAGAAATATTTAATGATTTGACAAATTTTAGTGAAGACACTCAAACGAAGGAAATATATTTGAAAACCATTATTGCTCATATAAATTACCTACACCATACGCGAAGAATGAAACTCAACATTAGGTGACTCTAATGTACTTTGGTGAACCTACTAATAAGATTGCTCGTTTTTTTTGTTTTTCAAGATTACTAATGATGCATATAAAATAATTATTGATTCCATCACAGTCGGACCCTTTAGTGCATACGGTTTAGAAATATCAAAAGATTCACTCCGAATACTCAACTGGGATACTATTTGTTCCGATGGTGACGACTCAAAAGCAGTGTATCATGAAACAAGCTCTGAACCCGGTCTATCCAGTTTCAAAGAATGAAACTCAACATTATGTAACTCTAACTTACTTTGCTGATCCTACTAATAAAATTGATCGGTTTTTTTTATTTAAAAAACAAATAATTGAACGTAGAACAAATAATAGTTCGAGTAAATTCTTTAAAAAGATAAAGGTACAACTCTAGTGTCTGATTGATCGAGAACAAGTTGACTTATGGTTCTTGTCCAAAATTTTATATCGGACACACTGGAAGAACTTTTTTCAAAAGAATAAAAGACAATAGAAGTAGTTTTTTGAATGGGTAGACTGATTCAACATGTGTGAATCATCGTTTGACAGAGGGGCACGAGTTCAATCACCACGATTATGACGTATTGAATTCGAAAAAAAGGATCACAACTCAACCTTTTGGAATGTTTAGAATTCATTATTCTCTAGTCTTATGAGTTGTTCCTAGATGGGTAAATTATTTATGTAAAGAATTTATCGTGTGGAAATTTGGCACGTAGTAATCGTCATGATTTAAATTACTGAAAGAGCACGACACAGTATTGTGACTCCCGATTATGCTATCGTAGAGCAAAATACGTGTCGCAGTTTTGTAAACTTTCAAGTGTGAATCTCACATAAGAGTGTGTTTTTTGAATATGGGATTATAATTTTTCTCGTGTTATTTACGTCGAAATAGTCGGTCTTTTTGCGTTTTGGTAATGACTCAAGATCATACTACTTAGCGTAAATTTTTCCTCTCTCAAAGCTCAAATCATCTACATTTTTTCCTCTCAACTGAAACACTACAAAGTCAACATTTAGCCGCATGTGCAGGTAAAATGGATAATGAGGAGTCAAATTGGAAAGTTGGAAATATCAAAAATATAATTAGTGTGGTCCTTCCACGCTTTCGTACAGCTATTAAAATAATCAAGAAACATTTTTAAAATAGAAAAGGGGGTGTTATGTAAATGGATCGTTGAAAACTTAGCTGTTGAGGTTAGGTTAGGTTAGGTCCAAAGTGAGTGGGTGTATTCGACCCTCCACCGCAACCCGTAAGGCTTTATTGTGGTTCACATCTATTCTCACTCGGCCAAACAAACCCAGCTTCTTAACGAAGCCGATTAGTTTGTATGGTGAGTGGTCTCTCAGATCAGATGGTAAGAGTACGGCTCTGCCGAACTCTAAAGACCTGATTCGGTCCCCAGCGGGGCAGGCACAAAGAATATGCTCTGTTGATGAGGTAGTCGGATAGTCAAGTTGCAAGATTCCCACCTTGATACCCACGACAACCTTCCCATATGAGGGTTATTGCACGTCAGCTACACCTGACGATGCCTTAGATTCAACCGTGCAGGGCTTTTTCGCCTCTGGTTTTGGTGGAACCTCACTTGAGCCCACCTGAGACAGATTCTGCGTACGCCACATCTCTCCCTCCTGAACTAAATTTACAGGGAGGTCAGTTGGAATCGTAAACTCGACATCCATCTCCTCTGTAGACTCGCTCCTGAACTAAATTTTACAGGAAGTCGTAAACAGGAGTCGTAAACTCGACATCCATCTCCTCTGTAGACTCGCTCCTGATCTAAGTTTACAGGGAGGTCAGTTGGAGTCGTAAGCTCGACATCCATCTTCTCTATAGACTCAGCGTCAGAAATAATTTTTAAGTTTACTCTGTCCATTAAAGTCCCACGAGTAGCTAGGGAAAGAAGGTCAATCCGGCAGAGCCCTGCATAACCGCATTTTACCCGCATGTGCGGGTAAAATGGATAATAATGAGGAAGTCCAATTGGAAAGTTGGAAATATCAAAAATATAATTAGAGTGGTCCTTCTACGCATGTGCGGGTAAAATGGATAATGAGGAAGTCTAATTGGAAAGTTGGAAATATCGAAAATATAATTAGTGTGGTCCTTCTACGCTTTCGTACAACTATTAAAATAATCAAGAAACATTTTTAAAATAGAAAAGGGAAGTCATGTAAGTGGATTGTTGAACACATAGCTGTTGAGAGTTCCCCCTCTCAAAACACGGGAGCCAAGTTGTAACTGTAGTGTCTATGATTGGATTTTTCGAAATTGGCAATATTGAATGTGTGCATCACATGATTTCGACATAGAACTAAAAACTCTGTTTTCGACTTTCTCTGTTCTGTGATCAGTTTTTGGCTCATACTTTTGCTGTTCGGGTTCTGTTAATTTTATGTAAATGAAATTTTTTAAATAATAGTGTATGCATTGCATAGTTCGTATTCAATAAAACTATTACGGTGAGTCAAATGTAAATGGTTACCAATATCTGCTACTAGTAATTTACGTTTGCATTCTTTGGAGGTTAGTGTTTCTGTTTCAATATTAATTAATCGATTATTTTAATTAGCTGACAATTTCACCTATTGCATTTTGAAGGCAATATACACGTTTCGCCATTTATATAGTTTGTAAGTATTTTTTCAACTGACGTGTCCTGAACATGAACCCATCTCATATAGCAAGCACTCCTTCATATTTTGTTTTGTATTTATTTCAAGAAATAGATTACATCTGGTCTGATGAAACTTTGGAATTTTTCATTATTGATATTCAAGTTTAATTCAATTCTTAAACACAGTGACATACCCACAGTAATGATACATTCAGTTGTTTATAAAAAAATATAAGTTTCAGTGTCATTAATTTGCATTATCATTCATCATTTATGATTTTTCATTCAAATGTTCCTGTACATTTGTCGACAATATCTATGTGAATCTGATCTAAGTGGATGTTTGGTGTTATCATATTTTTATTACTCAACCACAGAATATTCTTCTTAGATATCCGCACTGAAGAATACATAATGAGCAGTAAAAGAAATAGAAAAACGTTTCGAGAAAACGATAATCAGACACAAATCAAACGAGCAAGTACCATTAATCAAGCTCTTTTGAAAACTGCAGATGAATTGCAGAAGATGAACAAAGAACAACTGAAGATAGAGTGCCGAAAAAGAGGCCAGAAATCGACAGGTTCTAAACAGGAATTGGTATGAGAAATAGGTACTTTAGATATTTTAGTTATCAAAAATGTTGCAAATTGATTCTCTAGATTCTCTGCTACCTATTCATATATTTGTAAAATCAAGTGTAAAAGTTGATTTTTTTAAAATAACTATTATGGTTTATTATCTAGAGACTATTATTTTCTTTGGTATTCCTAGTTAAAACTTAGAAATGATAATTCTTCAGGTGTCCAATGATTTACAGTTTCATATTTACATTCATCAAAATGTTTGATTGAGATATATTTCATTTTTAATTAAATCATCACTTTCTCTGAGTATGTAGTGAGTTTTCTTTAAAATTGTTTAAGGCTATAATCATTCACTATAGGCTTTGGAAACCCATTCCACATAAAAAACAATGAATTGTTTCTGTAAAGGTAATGTTTAAGGTGGGTGTAGTGTCCATGGATTTCCATCATTAAAAATCAATTACCTAATGAAGAGACCTGTCCCTTATTGTATTGTATCTAAAACTTTCTCTTCAAATTATGATGCAGTTGTTAAGATACAACCTTGTTTAATTTTTTTGAAACACTTTCTTTATATAGGTAATTATGCTTTAGTATTTTCATTTACCAATAATAGTATAGTTGAGTTCTTGAATTCACAATTGTGTCCACCATTTGATCTTATGGATTCACATATTGGTTCATTCAAAACATTAGTGTGTTTCTATTGATTTAAATAATTCTTTAAAAACTCTGGTGAATTTGAGAACTTGCCTTCTTCAATATTGGTGTGGGTTTTCATTTTGAGTGTTTCATATTTATTGACTCACATTGATGAATATCCGTAATAAGTTGAAATCTTAATATTTTTAGCTTTGTCAATTCAATGAATATCTGAGGATGACTCCATCTCTAGAAAGGTGATGATGAGGGATTTCAATTGAATTTTCACAGCTCTCACTGATATATCAGTAGCAATCAACATATCTTTACTTATCATTCTGTTCAATTGTGAACCTTGTAAAGTGATTCATGATAAGAAATGGCCTAGAACAAAATGAGTACTTACCCAAACATTTTTAAACACTATATTAATTTGTTTGAATCAATAAATGAGATTTCTCTCAAAATTTTCAGTTACTTTGAATAAGTTATAAAAGCCTAGAAAAAATTGTGGATACTATCAAAAAACAAGCTTGTGATGAAATAGGTAAATTTGTCAGATAGTTCTAGGATATTGAGGTAGATACATAGTAACATTTATCTGTAGAGTGTGAATAGGTTTTTATTTGAAAAGTATTTTGTGAACACATTGAGTTATTCATTATTTTTTTATAGGTAAATTCTATTCACAGATTATTGTGAATATTATTGTGATTATTGTCATATTTTTGAAATAGGAAATGTTTTCAGCTATACTTCTTTCACCAGAATTTGATTTCCTTCTATTATATAGTGTAACCACATGTATAATAACTGTAATTACAATTGACTACCAAACAAAGGAACATATATATTGGCAGGATGCTAAATCTCTGCAATAAAAGAAGCAAATAAATTATAATATACAAACTGGAAACTGAAATAAAAACAAATTTTATCATCAGTGGGCCAAAATATTCCTACAGTAGAATATAATAATTCAAATCAAAATATTGTTCATTATTCCAAAATAATGTAAAAAAGTCACTGAGAATACTGAAATCCTGTGGTTACAAAACAATGAATCTTCACAAACAACAGCGAGGATCTAAGTTTGTCAAAATATTCAACCTTTGTCTACCTTGGTTGTAGGCATCTTTATCATATGCTGTCTCAGTCTTTGTCCATCATCGTAAAAGTGGGATTAGGAGAACTTACATCAACACCATTACTACAGTATTGACGGGATACTACTATTCGCTTACATCCCAGAAAATATATATGTATGGAGATAAAGTCAACCCTAAGAATATTCCCTAAGAAATTTACTTTTACTTTCTGTGAGCTTTTACAAAACAATTCTGTTGAAATGATGGTTCCAGTGTTGAGGAGCCCTCTAGATAAGAAGCTGTTGCCAGAGTCTGAGATGGTACAGATATATTTCAATAATTTATCTGTACTGCCAAGTTCCATAATTCGCGTGAATCCATTTTCATATCAACTCTTGATGTAGAATATGAAGTTAGTAACAAAATTTTGACAAAACATAACATTTTCAGAGCTATCAACGTGGTTCTTTTATTCAATAAAATGCACTGTAGCAGGTTCCTATCAATACAGATTTAGCGAGTCTGATTTGAGTGGATATGTCACCAGTGTTAAGTAATAATTGACAAAAAAATGTTAATGTGTTATAAGTTTAAATTGAAAGTATTCAAATTCAAAAAATATATTTTTCATAATAGAATAATTGTCAAATTATTGAATTTTTAGGTCGGTTGAAAGTTTCCTAATTCAATTAAATATATGTTATTTTCATAATAAAATAATAGCCAAAATATCCAACTTTTCAATATGATTCCATATTTAAGGGGAGTCCAAAAGAGTTTAATCCTCACGTTTCCACAACTTATAAAGTAGAGCAGTTCTAGCCATTTGAAGCAAGTTGAAATAAACAAAAGTAACCTGATTGATTAATTTCAAAACTGAAGAAAATTCATCTGATGATACACGAATTATGCATGACAAAAATGAAGAAAAATTGGCACACTTTGCAAAGTAAATTTAGCAAAAAATTTGGAGAATCAATTTCAAACAGTCTGTATTGGATTTGTTAGTTTGTATGGCTGATTTATGATGTAAAGCCTGCTCAAATATCTATCGGATTTCCTACTCCTAATTTATTCCAAATCGAGCTCTGCCTCCAAACACCAGAACTGCAACATTCTTCTCTTTGGCGTCTTTAGGAGATGAAGTATACTAATGGAAACAAATTATGGAAATGGGGATAATTCATTGATGAAACCAGAACTGCCTGAAATATTTTTCAAAAAGTTCAGGTAATAACTATTTGAACGGCTTATCAACAAGATATTTTTGTTTTGTGTTTTGAGTAATCCCCTTTTCTTATTCATGAAACATTTGGAAGAACAAAAAATATTTTTTGATGTACAGCTGACACATTGAGAAATAGTTTACAATCTATTATAATGCCTTTGCTATCGACTCCAAACGAAAATGTTGCTTTTGTAGGGAGAATACCTCAGAAATTCGCACAAAGTAGCTTGGTTATATCATGAGCGGTTCGCTCATCATCATCTGCCATCACATGTGACATTGGTACCACCTTTTCAAAGTTCACTTGCTGCACAGTTTGTGGCTTATAGATTTTGGACCAGGAATATTCATGTGCCTCCAAGTTATGGTACTGGTGTCGTAAATAGAATCTACTGGAGTGATGAAAGCAGATTTCATGACAGTGTTCTGGTCAACACACACAATGCTCTTTACTGTTCCAATCACAAGCCCATTGGATAGCAGTAACTTGTTTACAAACATCATGTTGTCTGAACTTGTGGTGTGAACTTTACAACATATACCTCAATGGGCTATATTTTAAGCTGGTACTTTAACAAGACGACAGTATTTAGATTTCCTGCTGAACTCCTTGCGAGAAATATTCTTGCATATCTCTCTATTTATATGACCAATAATATGGCAATAAGAGTATGCTTCTCCTGATAATTCGCACATTGTTATCCAAAATGATATGCTCGGAGATGGATAGGAAACTGGGGTCCATTGCTTTGACCAGTCTATTCCCCTGATACGAATTTACTATCTGAAAGAAATTGTATTCCATATGCTTTCAATAGATTTGGAGGATCTCAATATAATCTGCTGTGCAAGTTATATCTTCACACCAGCTATGATTACATTGGCCTGCACTAGGGAACTCATGACACAATATGAAGCTTGTGTAGAATCAGGTGAAGCACAGTTTGGACATATATTTGGTAGACTTTGTGAAATGTTCTGTATTTCATGTAGGTCAGTGAAATTTTTGAGATAATTCAAAATAACTGATCGGAGCCTTTCGATCATAAAAAAAGATTATCTCTCTGTATTTACAATGGTGGTGGTCCATTTGAGAAAAAAAAGAATGTTAGTTTATCAGTAATTCCACCGGTTATAAGGATTTCAAAGATGATCTCAAAAGGGCATTCAACAAAGCCTTTGTTTTTTTTGGCTTCACAAAAATGGAGAAGTCGATTGTCAACTGAATTCTGGGACACCCTGTATATGATTTTATATTGAATTTCACAATACGATAAAACTATTTTTTGTAAATTTACTTGTACATAGTTCTATGGATAGTATTTATACGACCATGTATCATACATGGTATGATATAAAACTTTGAAATAATGTGTGATTCATTATTTCCTTATCAATTTTTCTGAATTTTACGTTTAGTATATAAAGTGTCCTGTTTGGTTTTTGTTAGAACACCCTGTATACGTCGTCATAAAGCGACCATTCGAGTACCACTTGTCGATTTTCCGCATTACTACTGTTCGTATTCTCTGCCTCTACAAATTTTTGGTTCCATGGATGTATGAAAGTTATCAAAATATTGAACCATAGTATGATATAAAAAACATACAAACCAGCAATCTATAATCGCCCTACTGTTTCAAAAATGTCCTTCGTCATGAATTTACAAACAGAGGATGAGTAAAATCAATAGGAAACAAGCTGTATTTCCCATGTCTGTTGAATATTAATACAATGGGGGTTATTTGGAAGAGCTATTGAGTTACTTACAAAGATGCAATTACATGTGGTACGTAATGTAATTAACATAGGTTATAAGTATGTTCTTCTTGTTCAACACCATCCAATTGTATAAAAACTCCGCTACGCGGTTTATTATTAGATCGCCAAGAAAGCATAAATTTCTCTTTGTTAATGATACAGCTTCCTACAACGATCTCCAGTTCAGTAGAAAGTGTTGAGATTTTAAGGTCGTCACTTTCAATTTCTTTGTTGTGAATTTTGTATCGGGTGTTGTTCTCATCGGATCCACGTTATCTAGTATGGATGTGCGAG